TCAGTTTACAGAAACTGAGTTTTGGGCCTCAGTCCATGTTTTAACTTGTAATTCTAATAAGGTGTGATTGACACTGTTCAAATAAACTTGTGCCATTAAGCTGCTGTTCCAAATATTTTGCAACTTTTTGCACTTAACTTAATAAATAAATAAAATCAGATTCCCTGTGCATTGGCTGTGGACTTGATTGCTTGCAGAGGATGATAGCCAATTGTAGAATGTAGTGGAATAATTTGAAACATTGACTATATGGTAATAGAAAACATAACAGGACAGGAAAAAGGTATTGCAGGATAGCAAGAAGGCAATGATGACTCAAACCTTTAAAAAAAGTATTGTTCATTGTTCTGCTCTGTTAGAACTGAAGCTGATCATTGTAGGCTTGGTGTTTTGACTACATAAAAGGTAAGAGGGCCTGAGTTTCTCCGCAGAATTCCAGCATGGACAAATGTGAATTGCCTCTTGAGCAAAACACCTGCAAGCAAGAAGCTGAAATTGCTCAGCAGTTGCAGGGGAGGCTGTGTGGTGCCTTCCCTCTGRCATGGCATACAAGCTGCCTCTGAGCGTGTCACTCTTAGTTTGCCTCAGTGTCCAATAATAACTGGGTTTCTTTTCAGCAATGGTGTCACATGAAAGTTCAAGGCATTTAGGTACCTGGTGAGCTTTGGATCAGGCCCTCAGCAGAGTGTGTAAATATCCTATCCCTTTGTCTGTTTTGGAAGGTTGAAAATCTCTGCTGTCTTAAGCCATGACCAGCTGTGCAGAGAGGGACCCATAAAGTGTGCATGTGAAAAATTGTTTTAAAACATTTTTAGGTAGCTTTAATGCAAACCACATTGCTTTACTCTGAGCAGAAGAATGGTAAGACACTTGCAATTCTTGAATCAAAAATTCCTGATTAAAGCTAGTGGATTCCTTGAACTTTGTYGGAACTGCTTTCAGTGAGAATTTTGTAAATGAGAACAAGATCCAAAGTCTCCAGGATTTTATTGTTTATTTTGGAGAAATTCCAGAGCAGAGTTTCTGGTGTAAAGGCTTTACTCTGTCCCTCACTTCAGTGCGGCAAGACTGGGGAAGAACATTCAGTTCAGGATCTGTCTTCTGAACTATCAGTCCTTAACATCCTTGTGTCTGGGCAGTAGCACTGGCTGCCTGTGACTGAGCCTGCTGCCCAGAGGATCAGTAGATGGAGGCTGTTTACCTTCTGCTTCTAGGAAATGGAGAAWGTAGGAATGACTGTGGTTGATGCAATTTGGGAGGGTTCTGTTTCAAAGGTGCAGCTTTCCATGGTCATGCTGTGTGAAGGCTGCACTCTTGGCACTGTGGCTGTCTCTGGGCAGCTTCTGTGACCAATCACACAGTGCTCAAAGGTGTCTGTGCCCTGGGCTGGGTTTGCCTGGGAGGTTCTGTGTGGTGCTGGTGCTGGATGGGCCCAGCTGCAGGGCGTGAAGGCTCTCGTGTGTGGTGGTGTGTATCCACCTCTGAGCCCTTCACAGCTCCACAGAGTGATGCTGTGTGGATAATGGGGAGTCTGACACATTACTGAAAGCAATCCATTTCCACAACAGTGAGACTTGTTCTCACAGTTCTGAGAGTAACTGGCTGCCTGCAGTGCATCAGCCCTGTGTTCTTTTCATGTCCTGCAATCTCTCAACTCTTTCATAAGCATTGCTCCATGTATCAACCAGAATCTCAACACTGCCTCGAAGTGTGAGCTTCCTTTTTTTAACTGTTTCTGTGTCGTAAGCATTTTGGCCAATACATTGTTCCACAGAATGGGTATGGTTTATGCTCTCACATTCTGATATGCAGCCTCATCTGTTTGGATTTTTTTTGTTTGATTTATACTTTTACTTCATAAGGCTCTTCCTGGGTACAGATATCCCAGCTGATCGTGAGCTGATCACCCCTGAGGTGATCAAGCAGTGAGGCTGTGACAGCCTGACACAGCTGGCATGTGACTACCTAGAAGTGTGTAAGAGCCATCCAGTTTGAGTGACTCCTGGATGTGGCAGGAATGTTCCTGTCCAGTGTAATAGCATTACATTATTTTTTCTTCATATCTAAATTAATTGCCTTGTCTTTCTGTCTGATAACAAATTCAGTGTTTCATTTACAGGAAACCCTTAAATTCTCTAATATATGCCAGCCTTCAGCATTCAATAGATATTCCTCTTTTTTATTTAAAAGGAAGTGTTATCAATAAAAAGAAAATTAAAATATGTCATGATGATTGGAAGAGAAAATAAATATACTGAACCTAAACATTTGTCCCAATTAGACCTTGCCACTAAGAAATACTGGTGAAGGTAGGGAATTCACAAAAAGTTTCAGAAAATGTGAAATAATGTTGGGTTTGGGGTTTTTTGCTTGCTTTTTTTTAAATTAATTCTCCTTTAGCAGTTCTTTTTTTTTCAAATATAGTCTATATTTTTTTTGAATGTAGGAATATAGTCAAATTTCTTGTTTCATTAGATTATTCCTCATAATAACTATGTCTTGTAATACTTGGTTATAGCTCATCTAATGGCAGTCAGACTGAATTTCCTAGTGCTATGACCCTCTGGACTTAAACCACCTGGATTTCATATTCATTGGCTCCAAATGTACAGTATTTACTGATTCCTGATTCCTAGGGCTGCTTTTGAATAGGTACTTTGAATGGCTTACTTCAACTTGCTGACCACTAATCCTGATGGGGAGTCAGGGGGGAATGATGCTGCTCTCCTTCAGGGGTGAGATCCTTAATATTGTCATAGAATCATAGAATGGTTGGGTTGGGAGGGACCTTAAAGATCATCCAGTTCCAGCCACCTTGCCCTGGGCTGGGACRTCTCCCACAAGGCCGGATTGCTCAGAGTCCCATCCAACCTTGTCTTGAACTCTTCCAGGGATGTGGCACCCTCAGCCTCTCAGCACAACCTGTTCCAGTGCCTCACCACCTGTATAGTAAAGCATTTCTTTCTAATATTCCTTTTAAATCCACCCCCCCTTCAGTTTAAGGCCATTCCCTRTTGTCCTGTTGTTACATGCCCTTGTGGAAGTCCTTCTCCATCTCTCTTGTAGCCCCCTTCAGGTACTAGAAGGCCACTGTAGGGTCTCCCTGGAGCCTTCTCTTTTTCTGGGCTGAAGCAAAAAGCCATTTAGGACCCCACTGCCTTCTCCATGTCCTGTGCWGCCAGGTCTCCCCTATCATTCCTGAGAGGATCCACACTTTCCCTAGATTTTCTTTTATTCCTTGTGTTCCTAAATAAGCTTTTTTTTATTACCCTTGAGCAACATCATAGTAATATCTTGACCTAAGAAAATGGCTGTCACTGTAGATAATGAGAGCAGGTACAGTTAGTGGCTGTCAATGTGTGTGTTGCAGATGCTGTACCTAATCTCTCCTTCTGTTTTCACGTGAACATATGTAAACAGATACCCTTAATAGGTATCTGTTAAGAAATAATCAGTATCTGTTTACCCTTAAGGAAAAACCTCCACATTGAATAACTGAATTTTTGTCATCTTTTTATTATCTCTTACTGGTATATTGAGTATAGCCATTATAAAAGCAAATAGGCTGTGTCTACCAGAATCATTATCATTTTCCATTTAGCAAACCCTTTAAAAATGGCTTATTAGAATATTAATATCTATATTGTTTTTAAAGCATTCGTCACTTAGAGTACCTACTAGTGGTCTGCTGCTGACAATTGTCAAATAGATTACCAATTGTCAGCTAACATGCAAATAACCTACTGGGTTGTTAGAATATCAAATAGGTTTTAAAATTCTCCCATGGAACAGAAATACCAAATTCTAATGAGTTCTAATTTGCAATAGTGAGGGAGCTGACAACTGGATGAGGTTGCAGCATGCAAGGCTGGGTTTGAACAAAAGCTGAAATTAGGAGGTATTTTGATGCCCTTGTAGAGCTGAATCCTTCTAACTCATCTTCTAATACCTCAAAATAGGGCCAGTATATTTTTCCAAATATTGCCTGAGACTAACCTGGCTGWGGGATGGACCCAGCATTCCTTTTGKAGGGATAGCTTCATAATACAGAATAGGTTGGTTTATTGGGTCAAAAATATGATTGGAGATAAATTTCCATTGCAAAGCATCTCACACTGTTACTGTACTACAAGGACAYGTACAGGGTGTTTATGTATACAGCTGTATAAGTTGTTAGATTTCCCCARCACTCCACACACTAGAGAAGAGGTTTCTTTTCATAAACCAAGARTGCCTTCATACACTGAGGGCTCCTTTCCCTTTTCACTTTTTATTTTGGTACTTCAGTCTGATGTAATTTTACTATGAGCCATTTCAATGTACTTGCTTCAAGATGAGGCAGGTAACTGCTCTAGAAAGGTGTTTAATTTATTGCTGATTTTGTTATTCAACTATGTGACAGAAGGAACAGAAAGGAGCAGAAAGTGTACACAGGTAGTTTAGGAAAAGATTTGTGTCTYCATTTTGTAGCACAGATGTTTGTATAAGCATTTACTTTTTGGGAAGCTTGTGTTAGCATACCTGTTCTGAGGTTTTTCTGGGTGTACATGCTTTCAGAAAAGAAAAAGCACATTTAGTCTTTGTGCACCTTCTTTTCCATCTGAATTCTGTAGCTGAGCTGTAACATTCCCAGAATTTGTGTCCCAAAAGCAAATATTTCAGTGAGCATGAGTTCATGCATATTGTAAAATGCACACAAAGATGGCAGCTACTATTTCAGGCTCTTGTTCCTGTGGAATGGTCATGGCTGTCCTGGAGTGTGTGCCATCTGATGCCTTGGCAGCTGCTCTGTGGCCCTGAGTTCAAGCAGCAGAGTTTTGGGAGCAGGCAGGGAGGGGTTGCAGCATTTCCCGTACACGCTGCAGCTTCCCCCTCCAGCCAGGAGAGTGATGGGTGTGAAAGGAGGGTTTCATGGAGCTGCAGACCGCTCTGTGAGCCTTGTCCCTCAGCTGAGCAGGCTCTCCTCCTGCTGATCCTGTGGCTCGTTTTGCTCCTGGCAGTGCTGCATGGGCAAGTGTACCGCTTCTGCACCTTGGAGGGGACGTGGCTGCTRAAGGAGAATTCAACCCTGCCCTGGAGGAACCTGTCTGAGTGTGAGCCCTCTGACCAGGTAAGAAGTTTTCCCATTTTTCCCTCCACTTTGCTGCTGTTGTTTAGGACAGAGAAGGGAAAAGAAATTGCTGTTGATGCCCATGCATTTTTGTYCTGTCAAAGTAATCTTTACTGACTCACCTCAGTGAGAATAATGGTAARGGACATCAGGTCTGTCCCCTTCAACAGAGGGAACAGTGGAGAATAGACGAGAGCATGTTTGAATGTACGTGGGAGCCAAGAGAAGTGACTCAGGTCATCCCAATTGTGGTGCAGTGCAAGGAGCTCAACTGCAGGAGTGACCTAATGTTATTCCTTTGCTTTTTTTCCATTGTCACATCATTATAATAGGGACCATTTGCTCTCTCTGTCTTGTTAGCAGTTATTAAGGTAATTAAGATAAACTGAACTGAAGGATATTTGATTTTTCACCTTTGGGCATGAGGCAATCCCTGCCTTTTTTTTTTTTTTTCTTTTGTGGGGGGGCAGGTGTTTGTTTTGTCTTATACCTTCATTTTCTGTGGGCCTTGGAATTAGGCTTGTCAGTGTTATTTTCTTGCCCTTGTGCTTTATGCTCTGCAGGGAGCTGAGGTGCCTGGCACCAAATGAAGGGGAGCATAGGGATTTTCAGAGGATTTTTGACAGCCATTGGCGTCAGCCAGTGCACTGTGTGCGTTCYCATGACACGTGATACCACTACTACTGTGAACCTCCAAGGGCAATGATTTTCCTCACAGATRCTGAGTGCATTCTGTCTGTCACAGGATACTGGGAACTAGTGCATCGTCTAGTCAAAGCAGTTCAAGTTTTTGAAAGTCCCAAGAGCTGCATCTATGCCTTCTGTAGTTCCCACTGCTCATTTCCGCAGTCTTGAGAACGAATAAATGGCTGCAGACTAGGAGGAGATGGAAAAGAGAGTTTCTGTTTTCCAGMTCCGTGAAATTTAATGTTTTCCTTTTACTTGCAGCCTTGTTCCTTGTTCCTTTTGTGTTTTGGGGTACACCAGCAGAGCACATTGTCTTAATGCACTGTGTAAGCCTAATTGTTTGACTTTCCTTGTTTGCTGTTATGGTTCTTCCAGAGCTGTGGTGGGACAAGCCAAGGAATGAGATACCTAATGGTAATACTTGGTTATTGCCTCCTGTTTTTCATGAACTGATCTGGATTCTGAAATTCTGTGTGCATGGTGTTACTCCCTGAAATGTGAACAGCCATATTTGGTTTTCCAGCTAATGTATATATATAGAGCCCCAAAACAACTTTGTTTTATGCATCTGGCATATGAGAACCAGAAGTTGTTTTTATAAGTTTGTCATGTGTTATATTRCAAATGTAACTAAAACAAATTCTGAAGTGTTTGTAAGTGAATCTTTATTAAATAACGTTGCTTATTTTAGGTGTACGATGTCATTTTTATCTGTGTACATGTTTTAAATTATCAGATTTCAGTAGTTTGCCAAAGCTTTGAGGCTGGAAAGATTTTCCTTTTCATAAGGCAGCTCTCACAGCCTTCTCTTTAAAGCATTAACCTAGCAAATCTCTGGGGAACAGCCTCTATGTACACCTTAAATCCTCCTGGCCATGCAAAGTACATCTGAATAGCTGTGCTTAATTTCTGAAATATGAGGAATGTATTCATTTGTACAGCACAGGTCTCAGGAGTCAATTGCAGAGTTAGCAGCTTGAAGAAGGGAAATAAAATGCCTGAGTGTATTTAGACAGACATTCAAAGATGAACTAGAACAGTGAATATGAATGTGCCTCGGAGGTTGAGTAATAAGCCTGTGTTATAATTCAGACTTGCCTGTACCTTTTCAAGTAATTCTCTTCTCTGTAAGGATTTTGGCCAGTATTTTCAAGCAAGGGTCTCAGTAATCAGGTTTTCTCAGTGAATCTGAAGAGAGCTCCCACTGCTCTGGTCTGCACCAGCTCGCTCCCTCTCAGACAGTGTTAAAACACCCCGGTCATGAGATGCTGTTGGGCTGTGGTTTGTTATCAGGAGATTGCATAGTTGAGGCAGAAGACGGACTTTTTAGGGCAGAAGAGGTTTAGTTGTGTGAATGCAAGGCATGCTTTGCCTCAAAACAATCCAATAGGACCTGGCTTGTTTTACTTCAAAGTATAGATGTAGCCAAAGGGCCCCCCTCATTACCACAGTAAGGAGACTTCCTCGAAGTGTTCAAGTCTGAAAAGATKTAGCTTTGCCATTTTTGCAGCCAGTCGGAGTTGTGTCTGTGCATGCTGCCATCTGTTTTAAGACTTGCTTGTGTGATAATTCATGTCTCTCCAACTTTATTAGGAAATAATGTCACATTATCTATTTTTCTAGCCAGGCTGCAAAACCCAACTGTTTGAGTGAACACCTGGGAGCAGCTGAGAAATTAAGATTAAATTTTTATTTCTTTAGAGCATGTGAAAAGTGGAAGACTGATTTGATATGTGCATTTAAACTTGAAAKTAGGGGAATAATTTCTGGTTATCATTCAGAAAGTTAGAAAGTACCTGGGAGAAAAGAACTGAAGGCCATGAGCTCTCTCTTTTCTCCCTCCACTTTTTTTGTTTTTCTTCTTTATATGCTCTCAGGATGCACCAGAAGAACAGCTCCTGAATTTATCCATCATATACACCATTGGATATGCTCTTTCCTTCTCTGCCCTTGTAATAGCAACTGCCATTCTTCTTGGATTCAGGTAACTGGCAAAGCTTTGAAGAGAGTCAAGTAAAGGTTTTATGTTTTTCTTTGACAGAAACGTTTCATTATTTTTTCCTCCTTCTATGACCTCATTATTTCTCTATCTTTTGCCATTTTTGTGTTCCTTCCTAAAATAATTCTTTCTCAAAATGCAAGTAAAATTGCCAAATTTCTTCAGTTACCCCTGTGAATATGTGGAACAGGTATTTTTAATCAATTGTAATATTTTCTTAGGCTAGTTTTTGTTTCAGTAAAATTTCCACTGGAAAAGGTGGTAAAAGGGAGAGATGCAAGCATTTCTTCATGATGTCGCCTTGCAGATGAGGCATAAATCYGAGATGGGCAAGGACATTGAGGAGAAAAATTTTCATCTTGCCTTGCTTGGAGTTACACAAAGCATAAGTCTCAGTCTGGCCTATATCCTAGCCCTCATGTGCAAGGTGTGCAGAAATGAAGTTTTGACACAATTTTTATTTTTGAAACTTTCAGAATGTCTTTCTTTATTTCTTTTGCAACATGAAAGAGAATCTAATTTGAAACTTGAAAAGTTTATGTGAAATAAATTGCTGTCAGCCAGCCATAGCAAAATAATGAGTTCATCCAGGTTTGCAACAAACTCAGTGGAGTAAATAAAAATTTAGACACTCCGTGTGTGTACATGCCAAAGATACACTCTGTGTGTTTGGTTAAAAAAAAAGAACAAAAACCAAACAAACAGACCAAGCCACAACTTTGGATAATAATAAGGAACTTTTTTTCCTTTGTAAATGCAAGAGATGTTTTGATTCCAGCCAGAGTTTCCTTTAGTTTGGGGGTGCCAAGCACAGGAGACTGATATTTAGAAAATACAAAGATGAGATCCTGTCCWCTTGTGGGAGGGAAGTCCCTCTGCTGGGAAGTCCTGCTCCTTGCTGCTCTCTGCAGCCAGGTCCCATCCCTCTTCCATGCTGATGAGGCTGCCTCCTAAAAAACTATAATGTTCTATCTCCTGGTAYTCTTATTTGAGATGAAGTTAGGAATCTTCAGTGCTCTGATCCTTAAGAGACTTTCTTCCCTGACTGAAGAATTATCATTTCCAGTTATTGATCATTTTCTCTGGTGTCTGCACTAGACTTTTAAGAAGGCAGACCCTTTCCTTTCATCCCTCATGTATTTTRAAAGGTCAGTCATGCCTTTCAACTTCCAATTTCCCAAACTAAAGCATTGCAATCCTTCTATACTGTACCATGCCTTTTAGCACTGTATCATTCCTTCTTCCAGTGGAGAAGCATAGGTAGGCAATCTGAAGGAAGCTTTAAAATGACTGCAGAAATGCAGAGACATTCTCACCCATTGTGAATGCCATGTGGTAATTATGATTGGAATGTGTTGTACCTGTGCAACTTTCCGACCCTTCTGACAAAACACCAGATGGTCTTGAAGTCTCCTAATGTTTCCCGGGATAACCGTTTTCTCCTCATTTCACCTATCAATGACACTTTTTGAGTAATCTTAGCARCCCAAATGTAAAGGTCACAGAGCACAACCCTATAGTTTTTGAAGGAAGGAAGAAAGGATGTTTTCTGGCAGGGAACAAAGAACAAGTTTGTCACCAAGTAAAGGTAGGAGAGAGGGAATTTTGATGCCCTGACTTGTGGGATGAAGCTTTAGCATTTTTTCCTTCAACTATGAAGCAGGGACTAGAGAAGGGTACACAAGKATGTGCTTCTCRTTTTGAAAATGAGGTTCCAGAGATGCTAAAGGTACCAAGAGTCTTGTTAAAGCTATGCCATCAATCCWTTTTGTGTTTTCCTGTCAAAATTGWCTATCAGGAGACAACTTGGTCCTGGATCTCATGAAATATGAGACCTACCCCTATGTGAATTGCAGTTTCTGTATTCTGCCTGGAATCTCTGCTCGTAGCATCTCCCCAGAGCTGCTCAGCCTCAACAAATGGGGATCAAAATCTAATTCAATGACATGCAAATACTGATGGGCCTTTTAAAATTCTTAGACTACAGTATAACCTTTATATTTGTCTTTAAAGATGATACAAGAGAGGAAACAGTATCTCTCTAGAGTCTTATTTTGCATCCTCGGAAAGAAATGCAAGAAAAATCTCTAATTTCTTTGGTGGMAGCTGAATTAGACCCATAATTTCATGACTGAAACGATTTGAATAACTTGCATCGCCTGAAGCGAAAATACTCAGTAACTACTTGCAACCTATTTTTTTCAATTGCCTAATTTGCATAACTTTTTCAAACAAATTGAAATGTGTAGCAGTTCTGAAGGGCRGCAACAAATGAATTTTCAGTTTAAGGAAAATAAATACTAATAATATTTAATTTTTGAAATAAGTCGTGACTTAAAAGTGATTCAAAAAATTCTGTCTGCTATGAAGAAACAAGTTCTTCAGTGCAAGCCTCTAACTTTCAGACCAAGTCAGTTTTTCTACCAAAATTTATAGAGCTGTAAAAACCAGACATTTAAAGCATAAGTTCATTGAAACTTCTACTGGAATAATTGCTGAYTACCATATGTTATGTCTGTCCTTTTAGCATCTAAAAAGTCACAGCCAGTGTTACTTCCTTTAAGGCAAAGTGTGTACCCTCGCAGAGCTGGAAGAAAAATGTTTGTGAATAGGCCGGCAAAATATTGGCAGCATTCTGCAATTGGAGGCCTGCATGACTGCAGTTTCTTTTGCTATCCCTTAACATGCTCTTTTTYTGACAAGTAGCAATTTTATTGTCTTTGCAGCTGGCTGCTGAAATTGAAGAGGATTTTCTCTTTGTTTTTTTATTTTCAATTCTGAGTGCAGAGGTGAAAAATCTGTTCCTTTTACTTCTACAGAAAGTATTTACATTTCTCCCAGGAGGCAGTTTGAATACAGATTTTTCTCTTGTTGTCAAAGGGTGATTTGCAGGTGGATTTTTTTTCACTGTGGGTTTGAGCACAGCCAGAARCTGCACTGCACACCAATCCTGAGCTTTGCCAAGGTAAACTTGTGCAGTGACATTGGRGTCAATTCAAAGCAATTAGCTTCAGCATTATGCGAAACTTGCCTTTTTTAGTCCTTTCAGATAAACCTTCTGAAAACTACTTAATTTTTACATTTTTAGGCTTTTAAAATACATTTTTCTTAACACATCATAACTATCTCCTTCCTTTCCCCAAACATTCACTCTAAGGACTGAAGCTTTGAATGTGTTTTCCTTGATAGTGTTTTCTTCCCAAGGACAGTTTGAAATCCCTACAGCCATTTYCAAGTTATGGGATTTCCTCTGGTGCCTCCTGGTTTCCTTCAGGGCTTGTTGTTCCCTTCCTCAGTCCTGTGTGTGATGTTGCATCTTTTATGAAGGTAGTGGATCACGACTAGACTTTTATTTTTGCAGACATCTGCATTGCACGAGGAATTACATTCACCTGAACCTCTTCACCTCCTTTATCCTCCGGGCTATATCTGTTTTCATTAAAGATGCGGTGGTGAAGTGGATGTACAGCACAGCCACGCAGGAGTACCAGTGGGAAGGACTGATAGCCTTCCAGGTAAGGGCAGACATTGGGATTGTTCTTAGGATGTTGGAATCATCCTAATGTGATGTGTCTGCATGACAGCAGGTAATTTAATTCTTTCGTTGATGGCGTGACCTGTTTCTCGACATGTGGGTAGTTTGTCCCCATGAGAAAAAGGAACAAGAAGTAGATCTTTTTACATACATTTATATGTACATACACCGATGCTCCTATCTTCTTTCTATGCTCCAGTTTCATTTCTTTTTAGYACTAACGAGTGGGCATTTGCTTTCCTAAGCCAGCACCTTTTGTGATAGAACTATCCATCTGGTCTAATGACCAGATAAATTGGTTGTTCTTGGTGATCTCCATATAATCTCTTGATGGCAGGAAAAAAAAAGGAAGCATCTGACTAAAATGCAAATTTGAAAACATTTAGAAAAGCTTTGGAAGAACAGYCTAATTAAGTACTTCTAATTTTTGAGGGAGGATATACAACTCTTTCATAAATATGATTAAATGTGCCCTTCCCCATTTGGATTTAGAATGAAAAAGGTACTTGAATCTTCAAAGAAAAGTAGCTTTATTATCTGTAAAGCTCTTGTGATTCTCAAACATGGGTACAGCATTTGCTGCTGCTTTATTATCTGTAGAGCTCTTGTGATTCTCAAACATGGATATGACATTTGCTGCTGCAGTGCAGAGTTGGAGTTGTAAAGGGAAACTCTCCTGATGCATCCTTAGTACCCATTCTTTTCTGACACTGCCTGCGGCAGAAGTGCTAATGCTACATAGCGAATCTCATATGGTGGTTGATTTTTTTTTTTATCTGCAATATATAAGTTGCCAGAAAATAAGATTGTAAAACACATCTGAAAATGTTYGTACTGGATTGTCAGTAGTTTCCTCTTCCCAAAAAGCCTAGACTTTATGATTTTGTACATGGTTTACTCAGTAGTTGTTTCATCAGGTCTGATGGATATATTAACTAGGTAATCAGGTTTCATGCTTACCTAAAGCCCTACTGATCATCTCTGTAATTTACCTGCTATGAGAGAATTTGCACTTAAATGGGGTGCACGGGGCAACATTACTATTCTATGAAAATATCCTTTCCTTTGGCAAATAGTCAACATTACGGCATCCGCTCTTTTCTTTTTAATAGAGAAATTCTCAACTGCAGAGCAGATTATCCAGGAAAGTGAAAGATTCACTGACTATGGTTGATATAATACCTTTCACTTGTTCTTTTCATCTTTATTCATGCTTTTCAGAATATAATCCATTGCTTATTGAGGGGAAAATACAGAACATACTTTTTGTTTTGAAGGAGTAATGTTTTTGACAGCATCTGTCTGCAGTGTGTAGCACCCATTACTGGCTTCTGTCTCTTCAGCACTAAAATACGTGATTAGTCTAACAACTCTTTTTTTGAGGCGCAAGAGTAGGAAAGAGAACCAGTGTTTTGGGTTAGTATCCTTTTGTTCTCTGTCCCTGTTGCATTAAATTGGGCYGTGCGTTCTTCCATCACAGGAATCACTCAGCTGCCGTTTGGTCTTTGTGATGATGCAGTATTGTGTGGCTGCAAACTACTAYTGGCTGCTGGTGGAAGGCATGTACCTGTACACACTGCTGGTGCTTTCGGTCTTYTCGGAGCAGAGGATTTTCCGCCTTTATCTCTGCATTGGATGGGGTGAGTTGATTTTCCTGTTTGTCTGCCTGTGGCTGCTCTGGCAGATGATACAACAGGAAATACTGTGTCTATCCTAATGCTGCCCAGTTCAAGTCCTGCACTCTGCATCAAGTCCTGCACTCTGCATTCCATTTTTGTTGCTGATCCCTTACCTTGTTTCAGCTGGAGGGTGCTGTCATACCTCCTGGTGCTCATAACACAGGGGCTGTGGAACACCGCAGAAATTCCCCAAAACAGTGGCAAACTACATTTCCTGCTAGACAGCAGCTTCTGAGCACAAATTATATGTGGGTGATTCCAGCTGGATGTGGACTTTTCTGGACCTCCCTGCTTCATCTCCTTGCATTTAAAGATGTGTTAACTACTTATGATAAAAAATAGCAATGATGCTTTTCATCTGGGCGAGGACAACAGTAGAGAAATGGTGGCAGCATGAGGGGTTTGATGCAAAGGGGCTGATGAACAAGCAGGGAGTTGTCAGGTTGGCTAAGTGGCAGAGCAAGTCAGATGGGGATTGTCTGGGAAGAAAAGGTCAGGGTGCATGTGCCCTGGGCATGTGTGTGCTTGAAATCAAGGATAGCGATGCACTGAAATCAGCCAGTTGAGCAAGGGGTTGACTTCTGTAGAAATGCTAAAGCTTTGGTTCTTTTACTGTACAGTTCACCTGAAAATACATTACAGTTCAGGATTAATCCTACTTTTGGAGTGATCTTGCATGTACTKTTATTGCACTCTATCCCTTACTCTTCTCTACCCTCCCCTTTTAGTGGAATCAGGCCCTTTTTGGAAAGGTGAAAGTAAATCCAAGTAAATACTACGAGTGCTTTTAGAGATGCTAGTTTGAACATCTAAATTGCTTTGACTCKCCTGTTCTCTCTATGGATTTGGATTGTGAATATTTTTGCAAATTAGTTCCCTGGAAAATGCATATAAATGGCTTATTTTGAATTACCCAATTCTACTGAAAAGTGATATATAAGAAGGAAAGATTTTCTGGCATATTGATAGGAATAAATAAATAAATGCAAATAATAGCAGTTTCCTGCTGGAGAGTTTTAGTTAGAGCTGTATATCTTCCATATTCTTTTATGTCAGTCATGCAGCAAAAGCAGCATCGTTTTGTATAACATTTGAACTATATATGTTTTAATCAGACCCTCAATTTAATTTTAAAAGAAGGGAGGGGGGAGCTATCATGAAGCACTGACTGAGGTCATGAAAGGAAATGGAAAAGAAATTAGAAGAAAATTATATCTAGTCAAATCCTGAGGGGATTGTGTTGCTTTATAAGAAAGGGTTAGGCTGGTCTTGGTCTGAATCACTTCTATTTAGAGTTTGTCTCCTGCAAAAACAGAAGGCAGAAACAGTTGGTGTTATTTTGGTTTTGTTCTTCCTTTACAAAGGTGGTTTTGCTATTRTATATTGAATTTCTGGATGAGTTTGTGGAAATGAGTAGCAATGCAAGAACTTGGCACTGGATATATGAGTTTCATCCAAGCTTTCTAGAAAAGYACTGTCTGTGCCAGTCAGTTGTTACCTGTACAGTGTCTTGCTATTCCATATGTGTCTGCATGTGCAAAGCTTGCCAATGATTCTCCACCTTCAAATGCAGAAGCATCTGGTATTTCAGTGCTCCCAGAYGAGTTATACAAGGTGACAGTTTCATCTCTAACCAGTGGAAAGATAGGAAGATTTTTTTCCCCTTCTTTTTCTTCATTGGTGATTCCATTTTTTGGGTGCTCAAGTTCCWTGCCAGGTGACTTTCTGCTGTGTGCAATGCTTCAGAAAATTTTTATTTAATTTGATTTTTTAGCTGCATGATTGCCTCAGTGTAAGGCTGAGGCTTCAGAGAGAGACAGGTTCCTGTTTGAAYTGAGAGTGTCCTGCTCTTCAAAATAGTTAATTGACTTCAAAAATAAAGCTGGAACATTTTTTTTTTTTATTTTCAGAGCTGATTTGATACTATGACCCTTTGTTCCATTAATGAATTGTTTTCTTACAGGGTAATTTTTAACTTGTTCATTTCTCATCATTTGATGAATATTTATGGATTAAAATTTCATATTTGTATTGCTCATGGGTATAATTACCTTTTTTATTTCTTACAATTATAACTGAAGTTTGTGATCACTCTGACACACCAGAGTCTGCTCTCCTGAAGCCCAGGGTACTGAGTTTGATGTACACTCTCCTTACTGCCCTAACAATCTCAAACTCCTGCATTTTTTGGTCACTGGAGCCAAGGTTACCCTTGAGCTTCACATTCCCCCCCAGCTCTTCCTTGTTGATGAGAACAAGATTCAGCATGGCACTGTTCCTCATTTGTTCCTGTGTCACTTGGAGAAGGAAATCACCATCAATGCATTCCAGGAAGCTCCTGGATTGCTTRTGCCCTGCTGTGCTGTCCCTCCAGCAGACACCAGAGTGGTTGAAGTTCCCCATGAGGATCAGGRTTTGTCACTGTGRGGCTGCTCCTGTGTGTCTGCAGAAGGTCTCATCTGCTTGCATTTCCTGGTCAGGCAGCCTGCAGCAGACCCCCACTATAACATCACCTGTCCCTGCCCTCCTTTAATCCTGTAAGCACTTAGTCAGCTCCTCATCCATCCCCAGGTGGAACTCCATGCACTCCAGCTGTCATTGACACAGGTGGTGACACCCCCTCCTGCTCTCCCCTGCCTGGCCTTCCTAAAGACCCTGTGGCACTCTGTTCCAATATTCCAGTCAGGAGCCATCCTAGCATGTCTCTGTGATGCCAGTGAAATCATAGCCCTGCAGATACTGGCACTGGCATCCAATTGGTATGAGCGGGATGGATTAAGGATCCCCTTCCCCAGGAACTTTAGTTTAAAGCCCTTTTCAAAGGCTTGGCAAGCCTATGACTAAGGATTCTCTTTCCCTTCTCTGTCACATTCAGCCCACAGTAGACCAGTTGTTCCAAGATATTGCAAACATTTTTTTGCTATATGATAATATCTGGTCAGTTCTAACGTCAGTGTTGTTAGACAATAGTCCATTTATTATGAGTTCAAATGAGTAATTATTTTTTGCTGTTGAAGTGTTTATAGAGGGAAAAGTCTGTTTATTTTGTGTTACTGTGCTTTACAAAACCTAGAAAAGTTATAAAATTTTGATAGAACTATGGAAAATAATGTAGTTTCATAAACTGGGAGTCATTTATACTGATGTAATGTATATTGATAGGATTCTATAAACCTTCCCTATTACTTGTGAGGTATCTGTATTCCTAAATGGCCGCTTCCTTGCTGAGATTTCATGCTATACTGGGCTTGAGATGGCAGTGTTAAATTTTTCCTATTTCATTTAATGTGGAATATGTCTTGCTTATGTCTTCTATTTCACTGTTAAAGCAGATTTTCATATGTTTGTGTCAACCTTAAGTTCCACTTATCTTTCTGCAAAAACAATTGTTTATTCCATTTGGAAAGCAGATGGGGAAAAAAAGGCAGAAACACTTAGCAGCATCAAAACCCCAACATTTCTAATAGGCTAATGGAAGAGGGAGTAGATGAGACGTTTCCTTCACTCTGGRGGTCAGCACAACAGCAGCTACAACAGATATTAATTCATGTTGTCATTGACACTAGCAGAAAAGAAAATCTGTTGCTATACATTGCTGGTACCTGGTGCTTCGTTGAGAAATCCTTGTGCATGGATCCCACTTTCTAGAGAGATGCAAAAATGTTTACAAGAAAGGGGTGAGAAAACCCAACCTAACTACAAAAATCATTGTTCTGTTTGCTTCTCTGTATGCGCAGACTGCTCTGAATCAGTGTCCAGGGCAGCAGCCCAGTGTTCACCATGTCTGAGCCCAAGGAAGGAGTTCCTGAGCCTGACAGCTATCAGTGCTGTATGAAGCAGTCTCTGGAGAAGAGCAGTTTATACTGCAATGCTGCTGCATCAGCAGATTTTAGTGGAAAAGGGACCTGCTCACATTTAGGAGTATGGAGGAGGGAGGAATGGGAAMACAACAGAAAATCCCACAGTGACTCTGACTTACATCCAGGCAGGAAGAACATCCTGAGACCACTTTCAGCTCTAAARGCTGAGAAGAAAATGTTAATAAGCAGCTAAATATTCTGAGCTTCTATGGCAATTTTACACCCAGTTGCACTTGCAGCAGGAAAACTGCCATAAAAAATAAATAATCTACTTCCTTCCAAGCTTTGGCAATCCAGACTTGCTCTAAGGAAGAATACTTTGAGGAATGAGGTTGTTAAAACCAGGAAGCTTGGCTAGGGCATCAAAATCTACATCCTGATTGCAAGGAAGATCTGATTGGAACAGAGCTAGTAAGAAATCTTCCTTCAGAAGCCCAGTATGAACTCACTGTAGCAACAGGATGCATTCATTGCACTGACCACTTCTTTTCTGCTTTCAAATGAAAACTGTGCTTCAGACATGGATGTAAAAACAGACTGATCTTTGTATCCAGACTGATCTTTGTAGGAAATGCATGTCAGAAGTTCCTCTTAATCCTCTTCACTCTTTGTTTTCTACATTAAACTCTTCCTTGTTTTTCCTTTCTTTGGAAGAAAAAACCCCATTTCATCTGTTTTTCTCACATCTTCAGTGCTTTTACTCTTTATTCATCTAGTCATATTTATTTATCATTTCTTTCAGTTCCTCGTCACATCATTCTTGCATTCATTAATCAATCAGTTGATTGAATCAGAGCATCCTTGATGCTTTCTGAGAGAAAGAGGAATGGAATTGTTCTGACAGCAGTAGTGTCCTTCTGGTTTGTGTGCCTGATTGTCTCAGAGGTTGAACTTACCACATGTGGCAATGAGTGATGTCAGATTATAGCTAAAATACTGAAAACAGTCCTAAAATGGTGTATTCAGAATATGGCCTTCTTTAAGCGTCTCAGCACGATGTCAGAGCTCTGGTCCTAGAGAGACAAATTTACTTCAGGAAAAATCTCTAATCATTATGTGAGGGTGAGGTGAGCCTCTTGCTCCTGATGTGTCTTTCCTGAAATTGCCTTTTTGTAAAGTGTGGTACAATGCTAAGCTGCAAATATGGTGTCTGTAAAAATGGAAACTTGGATGTGGAGGTAAGGGAAAGAAGATGGGATGGAATAGCACCACCTGGTGACACCTCTCGTGGTAATGGGGACTTCGTGGGTTCCAGACAAAACCTGAGCTTTTCTGTTCTGTTAGCAAAATATTTCAGCCCTATTAAAAGAAGAGGCTGATTTCTACATGCTGGTCTCAGGGCATGGTAACTTCCATCAGCAGCTCCAGGAATTTCTTGCACCTCTCATTAAGGATAGTGGAGTGTTCTGAAAATGTCAGCTTGCGCAGGTTTTTCTCAAAATTTTCTTATCTTAATTACCCCATCCTTTTATCATTCTGAAAAATGCCTGGTTTTCCAACTTTTTTTTCTTACTATGCAGACGCTCGGCCAGGTGTAGAATATATAAGCTAGAGTGAAACTAAGTAGGCTGTGCTGCTTATTTATGCAGYGGGGTGTTAAGATGTCAATTTGGCAGTTCCATTACTTTCTCATCATCCATAATATATATTATTATTGCAGCCTATAATTCAGATGCCCCATCATTTGAAGTTGAACTTTATTAGCTGAGCTGTCAGCAGGCTTATTTCCTAGTATACTTGACAGTTTTCATAATCACCATGTAGTGCTCAAAGATTTTGGGTCAGTGCGCAGCCTGCAAGAATCAACATCGCAGAGGCTATGATGAGCAGGCTGTTGCAATTTCTGGAATCTTCAGCAGTGATGAAGTACAGAAGAAAAAGTGGACATTACCACTTACACAATTTAGAGACCTTTCTCTGGTCAGTTAATTTAGGAGAAGACCAATCTCAGAGATTCCTATGTGACAAAAAAGCAAAACCATAAAGAATTCATCCTGCACATTAAATAAATGTGTCCTATAAATGAGTTTTTTTTCTTGGATGTCTGACATACTTTGAATAGCAGCAGCAAGAGGAAGAAGTGTGAGACTGAAGTTCATATACACTAAAAGTGCTCTATGTTGGAAGCCCAGGACTGGARCACACCACTGATTCTGTTAGTGAAACAGTCATCTGTGTATTTATTCAAGGAGTTGTATACAGTTTACATCCACTGCCTTCTSAAACCAGACAGAATTCTGTTAACTGAGTGAAGTAAACAGAATAATACGTGCATTTTTGCCATTTAATGCAGSCTTATTAGGTATSTAGATTGTTAATTAATCTTTGGAGMGTCTCAGTGATCCTTGCAAACTGTAKCTAGTACAGAGAGGCTTCAGACTTGCTCTTTTACTGTTATGGAATGACTTCTGCAAGTTTGAAGTGAACTGGGGAATGTTCTTGGGGCAGTCTCCTCCTTGGATCTTCCACAGAGCTTTGCAAAACTGCATGCATTTCCACCTAATACTGTGTCCCAGACAGTTTCCAGAGCTATGCATTTATGAAGGCTTTATAAATTTAGTAGGTGTCAGGTAGTATCCATGTAATAAGGTTAGAACATCAGTGCAAATTCATGTAKGTATTGCACTGTTAAGTCTTGGTGTCTCAGGTTAAAATATGCAATTCCAGCATGGAAAATAATGTGACTGATGGTTCTGCAATACCAACACACYGGTGGCATGCATCACAAGTGGGAGTGGGCAGAGAATGTTGAACAAGTCACTTTATACATGCTGCCTATTAATTTGTGTAATATTTGCATAGCAGGATGCTGATGCAATTCTATAATACCAGCCTCTCTCTAGTTAGGCTCTTTTGAAATATAGTATTAATAATAAGTTCTCAATTCAAATGTCAAGTAATTCGATTGAACATGGAGAGATTTCTGATGTATCCAGAAGATGGAGATAACAATAATGATTTGTGGGTATCACTTGATATATCCAATGATATATCCACTGACATACAGCCTTTTTGCTCTCAGTGCTCATGTCTTATCCTGTAAGTTTAATATTGAGATGTCTTAATGCTCAGCAAAGTCAAGAAAGGAATGATTTGAACTATAATTTGTTTCTGTGAATCAAAGTCTCATTTGGTTTGGAAGTGATTTGCAATGAGCCTAGCCTTTTCTTAATCTCTTCATACCACTATCAAGGCAGCATAGAGTTTTAGTAACTTTGCTCCCGAAGTCCTGTGTATTCTCAGTATCTAGTACATCCATGGAACATGTTAGCTATTTGCCCAGATAATCTCTACTCAATTCATTCTCTTTGCTGTTTTTCTAATTATTGGTATTTTTTTCTTGCTGCTCTTCATTCTCTCTTTTTTTTTAATTAACTGATTAAGGAGAATATTGTTATTCTGTGTCTAGTATTTAGCWGTTCTGATAGCAGAGAAATTATACAGTACAGCGAGAGAGAAAGTTTTTTACTGGTAATACAGATAACTGCTTGAGGTATTCAGACTGCAGGAGATCACCAATTTCCCTGTGGCTTCTACTGACAGAAACTGTGGATTTGCCCTGCACAGAACTTACTGCKGCAGCCTGATTTTCTTACTGTCACTTACTTTATTGGTTCTTAAGAATAAAGTAACAAAGAACAAAGAAGCATTTCTGTGCAGTACACATGTGGTACCAGACTCTGTCCAAGGAGATACACAGAAGAATTGCACCATCTTGATTCATCCTTCGGCAGAAATTCTTCATCCTGCGCTTTGAGTCACAACCTGCTTTCTTTCCTTGTGCAYTTTTTTGATGTTCCCTATACTCAGTATTGGTTGGTAGGTGCCCTTCAAAATTATTTTTTGTGACCTGGGCTCTTCATAAATAAAAGAAATTAATTAGAGACACTGTAGAGCAAGTAATGAGAGCCAGCTTACTTGGGTTATCTCTCTGCCCTTTACACGCCAGGTGACAGAGCAGCCTGTGTGCTGTCAGGTGAGGGTAGGGCCAAGCCTCTCCTCACAGCCAGGTTCCAGCCACTCAAGTCCATGCCAGTACCACAGCCAGAACTGGGACTTCTCAGTGGGAGGACACTTGCTGGGTGTCCACGACATGCCCACACTCCCTCTGCCATGGGGGTAACGTGGAGCTGGGTGTGCTCCAGCCTCAACACCCAGACTGCCTGAATACAGTGTAGGTCACCCACAAGCAGAAATTTGGACACAAAGGTTTTGGTCAGAGCACACTGCACCCCTCTCTAGAATGAGTACAGAGGCTAGTAGAGATTCCAAAAATTTAATTCCCTTGGCCCCTCCTTGAAACTTTCACAGAAGTTGTGGTGAATGCCTAGTATGGGACCAGTTGTGTTGTAGCTCATTTTTCRTGCTGTTGGGGACTCGGTGGGAGCCCACTGTTCATGGCAATCTGTTGGATAGGAGCTGCAATCCTGACACCAGCTAATTGTGTTRCTCATCATTACGGGGGTGGCAGAGAGAGTTGTCCTCCTCTCTGCTTTTTTCAGTCTCAATGTCAATGTCAGCCTTGTCTYCTCTCTTTTCAGGTGTGCCAATGCTGTTTGTTATCCTCTGGGGAACTGTCAAGTACCTTTATGAAGATGAGGGGTTGGTTTAGTTCTGATTTTTATAGCTATCTTATTTGTGCTCTATGTGTGCACCAGCAGGTCATTGTTTGCTTTCTGTTCAGTGTGGTTTGCTTTGGCAATGTGCTGAAACCTCACGTAATTGCTTCTGTTTTGTCTGAAGGTCTTGCATAACATTTCAGAAAGGAGCATATGTTTTTTTCTGATCAGAATTTTCTGCATGTCTGAATGAATCTATTCTTTTGCAGGTCAAGGAAAGGTATGTTKTGTTTTTCTGTACTTACAGTACCAACAGTAGAAGTCATCATACCCAACCAAGACCACTSCTGATACTGTGCCTTTGGCAGTAGCCTTTACAGTCATTTCAGAGGAAGGCAGCAGCCTCCCACAGAATTCTGCCTGAGATTTGTAGTGATTAGGCTATGCCTAGCAGCAGAGAAGTGATTGCCTTTTCTTGTTTAAGCTCCCATTATTTAGATTTTCTTAAAATAAAGGCACATCCACTGTCTGCTTACGTTAGTCTTGCTGAAGTCGACTATGCCACGCACAAGAGTGCTGTTAAACAAAATACTTTTTTTCTATTTTTACCATGGTGGCTGTTGTGAAAAAAATTACCTTGGTATATGCTTTATGTGCCAAATAGCCGTGTAGTTTGGTGGTTTTTTTGTTGTGTTTTTTTTTTTTAATCTGAAAGGGAAGAAAGTGGCTTCTTCTTTTTAGAGACGGTGGCTGCCTAGAAATATTTAGGTAGCTTTGTGATGAAAGAAATAAATTAATGCTCTTTCATTTTTATTATAGATTTACTATTTGATGGGTTTTCTTCTTAGTTTCCGAACTACCCAACCAACACTTTTGTAGAGGATCTTTTTTCTTTTTTTCTTTTTTTTCCCTTTTCTTTTTTCTCCCGGACACAATAATTGCTGGGGATATGCTGCAATGTAAAAATTCAGTTTAGTCAGAGCCACCCCTGGWCTGTTTTCTGGTGTTTGTGAGTATTAAGAACCAGCTTTTTTTYGTGTGTATGTTTCTCATAGTAGTGAACCAGTTCAGTCAAAGCTGCCTTTTCTGGCTTAAGCCATGCTTGGATTTTTTTAATTCCCTTTTCAAGGTTGACTTGGTATTTTGTAGCAAAATTGTGGCTGTACTGAAGTATTGAAAGTTTTCTTGAAGTTATCAGAACAGGTGTACAGACCATGCAGCCTCTGAACAGGCAACTTTCCATGGGCATATCTTCCCATTGATGTAGCAAATGCATTCAAAGTGCTCATGCTGAGCATCCCACATTGTGCAGCGCTCAGAGCTGATTTATGTTTTCTATTAAGGAAAACTGTCACTCACTGCCTTCAGCAGGCCTTAAAAGGGGCAATTTTGCCCATTATTGAATTTTCTAAATCTTGTCTAAATATTTGTATAATACAGCGATAAATAACCATGTGCAGCAGCTGCTCTGAAAGGCAAGATTTCTATGCCTTGGGCGAGCGTTTGCTGGAGCAGCCAGAGGTATCTGTCATGGTGTTTGCCATAGCTCTGTAACCGAGCAGCGGGCTGTAAATTTCATTTGTGATTTAACTACTTCCCTGGCTTTGAAGAATAACTGGAAATAAATGTGGTCAGAGCTGGGAATTTGAGGCAGTCCTATGAATGTAGCCATTTGAATGAAGGACTGAAGCCTGCAAGCCTTGGTTGCACACTAACTTTTTCTTTCCTTACGTGTGCGAGTATGAACTCCTTTAGAACGCACTTACTGTTTTAAAAAGTGGTCTATTTAAAAATATTTTGCCCAGCCTACAAATACAATTAAAGSCAAGCTGTTTTAACTGATTAGACTGTGCCTAAAAAAGCTGATGCTTACATGTTTCTGTTTCTGCAATTAAGTATGGGAGCAAAACAGCTAGCCTTCAGTCCTTTCTTTTCTATTCAGCGGTAGCAATTCAGTGTTTTCACTTTTAGGAAGAGATTACTGGATTGGTAAGCAAAGACAGAAACATCCCAGTAGCATTTTTTTTCACTGAACAAATTCTCCATTCATGGCTCTGAGGCTATTAGTTGCAAAGCATCGTCTGAGTGGTGCTGAGCAAACTGTGGGGRTAGRTCCCRARCACAGTAGATATTGGTGTATTTTTYAGTGTGGCAATCACAGAAAGCACAGATGGGCAAGAAATCATGTAGAGATCTACCAGTTTTWTTTTCTGGATGCTTCAATAGTCATAACACCTTAATTGACCTTTAATGGTTTTTTTATTGCACATATTTGTATAAATTTAAAGGTAGCTAAAATYTGTGTGTGCCACAGGAAGCAAACTAACCCACACAGATGTAGCAGAGTTAATGTAAAGAGTTGTTTCTCAACCTCTGTTATTACAAAGAAAATTTTTAATTGCCTCTGCATGTATTGCAGCTAGTGAGAAAATCAAAACTCCACTTCCGGCCATGCCTATTATCCCATYAGTCTTGAGATGTTCAAATAAATTTAATTTCAAAGGTTCTATGAAGCTGGCTCCCAGTCATGTGTACTCATTAAGAAGTTCTGTTACTCAGATTCCAGCTCAGGTATGCTGACTGCACAGTCTGTGCACCTTCTTTCTCCAATACCTAAATACAACTGAACTGGAGGTTGTGGAGTTGTGGTGGCAATAATATGCTTTTTATAAGCATTAAACTGAAATTGGAAGATAATTAAATCCCAAGCCCTTTTCAGCATTGCAGTCCTTGCAACAGAATGTGGAATTGCTGTGGCCAAAGTGCTGCACTTTCTAGTATGTGAGCACATGTGGATGTATGGCWGTAGCACAGATCCCTCCCATGTGCTGCATGGTTTGCTTTTTTTACTCTTAGACTGTCCCACTACAAGGCTGGGGAGGGTTTCTGCTCCACCACTATCACCCAAGCTGAACTTTCACAGGTCTGTAAAGAAACCTTAAGGAAAGTTGTGCATATGTGTATGTTTTGACAGATGAGATTTGGAGATGAAGAGAAACCTTTTTTTGGGAAGGAAGCTATGTTTTATGTAGCGCTGTTTCCTAGTTTGTTTCACAGCCTTTGTATMTCAGGCTTTACTGGTGAGTGTTGCTTCTGAGTGATGCTGAGCAGGAGGCTAAYGAAGTTATTTCATAGAAATATTAAGAATGCTGTCACTGCAGCAACAAGTGGCATGTGAGCACTGCCCTAACATCTGGGCCGTCACGCACAGACTTGGCCCATCAGACAGGGGTGGTGGTGGCTGTGGCCAGAGGGGGACTGAAAAGAGCTAGATGTACAGACCCTCAGTGTAAGGTTCACTTCAAACCAGTGATCCCAAACTCTGGCTGCCATGGCTTTTCTGGTCATTTTTCTCCCATATTGCTCAAGGAGACAGTAATTAAAAAAGCTAAAATGAGACTCAGGTGAAAAATGAAGCATTATATTGCTGCAGCATGCTGTTCAGCTGGCAGAGGGCTCAGGTCAGCAGAAGTCAGGAAGTATTGCTCCCATCTTTGATTTTAATTATTTATAATTTTTAAAGTTCCCCATGGTGTTTTAAGTTTTAAAACCCTGTATAAGTTTTAAAACTCCCTGAAATCTTGTGCATATGCACTGAAGGAACTGGAGTTTGCAGCTGCAGTTGCTTTCCCCTGGTTGAAACTAGTAACTCCTTTATGAAAAAAAGGACAGATAAAATAGATAAGTCATGTCAATATTGATATGAGAATAATGATCCCATAAATAATGGGATAAAGAACTAACAAGCAATTAAATAAGATGATCTGACGTTGGAGACTGGAGAATAATAAAAAATAGTACAGGGAGAGAAGACTAGGAATGACAGTGGAAAGATCGCACTCAAACAGATTCCCCCCCTTCTCCTTTCAGCCAAATGACAAATTTGACCTTGGTTTTAATGGAGTAAATCTTCACAATTAATGGATGATAATTCATAGCAAATTGTGGAAGAGGGCTAGCCATTAGTGAGCAAGAAAGGCCGGTGAGTAGTATCCAGTTRATCGTGATAGCTGCAATAGTACAAAGCATTCAGTGTTTCCAAGAAGCAGCTGCATCTGTTTCCATGTCAGCATGATGTGCTTTCCTAGTATGTAGTCCTTAATATTGTTTTCCATTTGCATTGCTGGAACAGAATGAAAAGCAGGAGATTTTAGTAATGTACTGAAACTTTTTCTTCATCTCCTTTTTGTCCTCTTACTAGTTGCTGGACCAGAAACTATAACATGAATTACTGGCTGATCATCAGACTGCCCATTCTCATCGCCATTGGGGTGAGTCGGAGGCGCGCGCTGYGAGATGGCAGATTTCCCTGAGAACAACATGAACTGGTACAAAGATGCACTCGTGGCCATTGTGCATGTCCAAAGGCTAATAACCTTCAAGGCTATTGACATTTTCATTTAGAAATGTGATTTTATGAAGCCAAGTTACTTTCTGTCACTGGAATTCCGGAGTAGCATTTTGATTCTTTTATTTGGCTATTTGGTCATGTTGTAGTGGCAGGACATGATAACCACATGCTGTAGCAGTCCCGTTAGCTCTCCTGAGAGCAGAAGGTGTGGAAGGTAGTACAGGGAGACCAAAGATATTACTTCAGGTGCTGGGCTACAAAAGAGCCCTAAAATGTGTGGCATTGTGTAGAAATGCCCTGTTCTGCAGGCACAGCACTCTGTGTCAGGGTCAGACCACCAGACAAGGCAAATGGGCCAACCCACACCTTTACTGTGTCTCACTCCCCAGAGAGTGAGTAGGATCCCCTGCTTTGTTTAATGAAGTGCCTGTGTTTTCAAGGAAGGCTTGTGCATTCRCAGTATCTATTTAAACCACGGTTCCTTAGCAAGGAGTTGAGTTCCATGGCAAATTCTGCAGCTGCTGCGTAGCAGGATGCACAGACCTACATATGCATACAAAACACAGCTTTTTTTAGTATGTACGCACATGTRTTTATTGATGGTGATATAAATTTGTCTTTCATTTCTCCAGGTAAATTTCCTCATCTTCATCAGAGTTATATGCATCATCATCTCCAAACTGCAGGCTAATTTGATGTGCAAAACTGACATAAAATGCAGGTATGTCCTATGGTGGTCTGACACTTTCCATGCTCATCAGGGTAAAAGTAGACAAGGACATCCATGAAAGGAGTGGGTTGACAAAGGTGGTTAGAGATCACAGCTCCTGAGTAATGMAGAGATATGATGTCACACATTGGTGTAATTGTTCGGACAGTCAGTCCCCAGAAAGTGAAGAACAGTCGGTGAAGCCAGGGCAGGTACTTCACCTGTGCTGTAAACAGAAGGCTTGATTTCTGTCACTTGACAGTCTTGTATTAGACTGGATGAATATTAATTAAACAGGTTTTTTTTAATACTTTTAGCATATGCAGGTACCAAATGTTAGAAATTGCCCAGAGGAGGGCAGCAAAGCKGATGCAATGGCTGGAAGGAGCATCCTGTGAGGAGTGGCTGAGGAGTTTTGACTTGTCAGGTTAGGAGCAAAGGGCTCTGAGGGATGACCTCGTTGCCTTCTACAGCCCCCTGAGGAGTAGAAGTGGAGAGRGAAGTGCTGAGCTCTTCTCCCTGGTATCCAGTGATAGGATKTGTAGGAATGGGTCAAAGCTGCAMCAGGGGAGCTTCAGATTGGACRTTAGGATGTATTTCTTTACTGAGAGGGTAATTAAACCCTGGAACAGACTTCCTAGAGAGGTGGTCAGTGCCCCAAGCCTGTCAGTATTKAAGAGGTATTTGGACTYTGCACTTKGGAACATGCTCTAGTTTTGGACAGGTCGTTATAGGTTCCTCCCAACTTAAATATCCTATCTTAYTCYAATTTGAACAAAATAATATGAGTTRATAGAAATAAAAGCTTTCATTTCAAGGAAGACAAGATGGGATCATTTTGAGTTTTGTTTCTTGTTCTTCTTGCCAGTTGTTATTGGGACAAACTTTCRATCTTGAATGCRTGAGATGTTTCGAGAGAAATGTCAGGGCCATCACAGAAATGTTCAAATTTTGGTTTTCAGGCTTCAATCTATCTGTGTCTGTTTTCRTCCTGTTATTTCATCACCTTACCAAGATTCATGGTGGCATCCTTAATTTCTGTATCTTTCTGCAATACTTTCATATTGTAGTCTGACAAACAAAGTAGGAACAAGTTAGCTCTTGAAACATGGAGCTACGGGCTGTGGCTCTTGAACTGCTACTGGCACTGAACTCAGCTATTTTGGGTGTTTCAATGCTGCAGCCTTCKCARCTAGACACAGYACCTWTTTTGGGGCATTGTCATCACAGTGTAGTGTTGCTGTGAATGTTACCTACTTTCTTTACTTCACATGAAATTTTGGAAATCTTAATATGTCTTAAGAGTTCAAAAYAAAGATGAGGACTTGTCTGAGCTGTAGGCTTTGATTCCAAGCCCACTTATACAGAAAACTGAGTACTTTCAGAGGGTCAGACTGAAAGGACAAGGGCAGAGGTCACAAGAGAAATTACRGCAAGAAACATTCCACTTGCCTGTCAGGTGAAAATAAATTCACAGTCATAGTGGTCTGATGCTGGAAGAGAGGCTCAGAGGGGCTTTGGAGGACCTTGGAAATACTCAAAACTTGGYTGGACACAGCCTTAGTAACCTGCTGTGAACTGGAGCTGGGCCAGAGGCTTCCAGAGGTACCCTCCAACCTGAATGAGTACATGATTCAGAATAGCAGCCAATAGCCCTAAGGCACACAARATCTACTAAGGACTGACAGCCCTGCTAACTGAGGGATTTTGCGTCTACTGACTTGTCTCAAAGCAGATTGTTGAGATGTTGGTAAGTTCTGTGGCCCAGGAAGCCTCCACRTGATCCTCAGGTATCTTTCACTGACCTGTTGGCTGGCTGGCATGTATGTCTATCAAAAGAGAGTCAAGGATCATTCTTGTGAAATTTTTCCTTTGGTTGTGTACCTTGAACTCTCTCACAGGTGAAAAATGTTTTATTTCAGATTGGTTTGTCTTTCATCCTTTGCWGTCTGTGTCATTGAGCTTGCCATCACTCACTTCAAGACAGTTTGATTGCTTTGACAAAGGGTTCTCAGTTACAGATAGTTACAATGTTTAGAAGATTTAACACACCACAGAGGCCAGAAGGAATAGCAAGTACTCCTCCCTTTGCCAAGGTATTTTTAAAAGATTCCTATGACTGATAGATTATGTCTTTCAGGTCATCAAGAAGKTAGGGTTTTGGTTGTCTTTCCTAATTACAGGCTGAGAAAAGAATACACAGGAAAACATCGCAGGTACAAGAAACACAGGCCTGTTACTTAGTTTGGATGATCTTCCAGGTGAAATACAGCCAGCAGSTGGATCCAGAGCTTTGCTCTCACCAAGAAATGGTCTGCAGTGAAGTGGTAGGGGAGGTTMAAACATGTGGGAACTTATTAAGCTTATTTTGAGGAAGCTTCCATCCTCTGGAAGCCTGCAGCCTCTGGAGGAGGACCTTGTGTCACAAAGTGGTGCAGTGACTGACCAAAGTTGACAGTGTGTTAGAAACAAAACACAGAAACAGTGACTCCCAATGATCATTTGGACCAAGAATGCTCTATTCAGTGCCATGAAGTTTTTTAATTTCTTTGTGATCTTAGGTTGGCCAAGTCTACAYTGACTCTGATCCCACTGCTGGGGACCCATGAGGTCATCTTTGCCTTTATTACTGACGAGCATGCCAGAGGGATGCTGCGCTTCGTGAAGCTTTTTACTGAGCTCTCCTTTGCTTCATTCCAGGTAGCCCTCAGTTGTGCCCATGGGCATAGGATGTTTTTTAAATGCTGTTTGGGTACCTGCTTTCTCTCATTCATTGCATGCTCCCTGTTCCTTACATTTCTCAGTTTAGCACTGAATGTTACAGGATTATGACAGTGGAAGGGAAAGTGTAAGGACTAATTATTAATAGCCAACTTTATTACAATAAACTGGTATTTCTGTCCCCATATTAATATTTATGGTTCACCTCAGGGCAATAAGAAAATTGTCTGTGATTTCCTGTAATTGTATAATAGCATTGCTGAAAGCACATTTTGTGCTTTCTCCAGTGTTTTTGTTAGTCCTTGGAAAATCTGTGCTGTGAGAACTAGCTATCTGCAGCTGTAACTGCATGTGAAGAGATCATAGGCTTGCTGGGATTTTATTTAACTGTTGCCTTAGGTAAGGCCATTTCAAAAGAGTCTCCTTGTCTAAGGAAATGATTATTCTTTTAGTTACCCTGCATACTCATTCCCTGTTTATCAAGCAGAGATGTATTTAAGACCACTGTGAATTTTTTTCAACTGTAATAATTGCTTACTTACATTTATGACTTGAAACCAGGTAATGAAGAAGAAGAAATCACTAGACAAAAATAACAGATAGAATTAAACAGCAACTCCTTTTTCCTAAGACATAGTTTGATTAAACCTCTGCTCTGCCATCAGAGCTGACAGGGACCAAAGATTCTCCACCTTTCAGTCTTATCAGGGACATGCCAGTGTGGAGCATCTAGCCCTCTGCAACTGAGTTTGGCARAGTGAGGAAACTGCTCTGCTCACTRTTCTTCTGTTTTTTGTTGRTTTCAGGGGCTGATGGTTGCAATTCTTTACTGTTTCATCAATAATGAGGTAAGAGAGACACTGTTCCAATTTGCCTTATCAGCATACACTAGAGGAAAAGGAAATTGAAAATGGTCTTGAACTGCTAAATTGTCCTTGTTCAGGACTTTTTACAGATACTTCCCTGTGCAGCTYCATGGGATAACTCATGAAACAAATGTGTTTGTAAGAAATTCAGGCAGTATAATTTTGACTCACTATCTGTAGACCTGGAATCTCACAAATAGTCTTGTTTACAATTGTGTAGTTTGCACTAGTGGAATTCATTTATTACAAATCATAGCTGCTCTTCTTTATCTATCATACAGTGCTTTTTATTTGCTTTGGTTTTGGTGAATGTGGGAGTGGAGCCCATTTTATTCTGTGAACGCAGCTCAGCTGGCTGGTGAAGTTGGAGAATCCTCAYGGCTGTTGCTGTACAGTTTGGTTTCACTTGGTTTCCCTGTGGCCCAGCTACTGGAAGACATCATTGCTCTCTCATTAAAACTGAACTTCACAGAGTGGTGAACTCACAGGCCCAGAAGAAATGCACCTTTGGCTTTGACTAAATTGATTGCAAATACCATCTTCTGTGACTTCTGCTGAATTCCAGCACTGTTGTGGGAAAGGGTATTGTTCTGTTTCAGCATTGCAGGAATCTCTCACGTTACTTCTAAGTGATGATTGTTTATTCATTCGTTCAGCAGCCAGGTTTGCTAGGGAAGCAAACATTGCAGTACATTATTAAAAGCACATCAATATGTTCTAAACTCACACTAAATCTGCTTTTAACGATGACATGGCAATTCAAGATCACTTATTGAGAGACAGACCTCATCAAGGAATTTAAATCAGTAGAAAAATGCACTACTTCTGTCATTATGGCCAGGCTGGAGTCAACAGAAAGCAGCATGCATCCTGAACTAAGCGCTGCAGGAGACTGCTCACTTTTGTAGCTTGTGGGTAATATTCTGTTGAAGTGAATCTGTTTATATACTGCTTACAAAAATCAGAGGTGAGTAGCAGCAGGCTTTTCAGTTGGGAATGAATGTAATTTGCTACGTGTCATGAATTGGAGAATATTTGTTTCAAATTCCTTATACTGCTTTACAGGTGTACTTTAATCCTGAGATGCAGCACCGTCTGCTRGTGGATCATGTATTTCTTTTGATTCACCTTGGCATTTGCTTGTACATCCCCTGTGCAGCKGCAGCCCAACCTCTCATGTGTAATGCTCAATAACTTCCTTCACATGATAAAAAGGCAAAGTTWCATCTTAACCCAAACTTTATTACAAACCCTCAAACAGTTAGGCTTGTTTCATTTGAGGGAGCTTACTGTGTAATAGCYTACCTATGTTTTTTAGAGATCCTCCAAATCTCTTGCTACTATAATTCTCTTGGCTTTGTAATACAGTTCATAAAATCTAACMATGACATGTTCAACTTCACTGACAGATGATCCAGAATTAATTATTTTGYTTGTCCCAACTCTTGTTAAAAGAGTGGAGTAGGATTTTATCAAGCCTGGTCATCAGCATCCATAAAATAAATMTGTGTAAAGACTTTAAGTAAAACCTGTTCTAAATTATATGAGAATTCTTTTCCTAAACTAAATAAGAAGCTGTCTTCTGACACTGTGTGTGACCAAAGACTAGCCTTGTTTGCAGTGTGGTCTATACTTTATTTTTGTCTGTGACTCCTTTTTTCCTTAACCGTACATAATGAAAATTCTTTTGCAAGTCCTGGTGCCCAGATCAAGAGTAGACATAAAGATAGAAGTGATATTAATGTCTTTTTCTAATACCTACTTCAGGAAAAAAAACATTAGAATATGTTTATATTTCAGTCTTATTTCAGCAGAAATATTTTGGATTTTCTCTGATCTTGCTCTGAAGCCAACAGAAGGGTCTCAGAGATTGTCTGTTACCACCAATGTTCTTTGTAAAATGGGCTAGGCTTATTCTGACCAGTTTTTCTGCTATTATTACTGCTTTMTATAAGAAATATTTTAAACCATAGAGATGCTGCCTTTTTCCACCAGTTAGTTCAAGATGGTTCAGGTTTCATTATCTGTAGTCTTGGTTCTTCCTTTGCCTCCTTCCYGTCACAATGGAAGTACAATTCACTCCCTTCTCCTTTAAAGAATCTGTCCTGATGCCAGGACTCCTGAGTTCTTGAAATACTGCCCAATCCTCCCATTTGCTTTTAATTTCTTTTCATTCTCTATACAGACTATTAATTGAACTCTTCCATTAGCTCTGTTCCATCCCATTTTAGACCTGCTTTCCTTTCACTGTGATTTGTTGAGATATTTATTGCCAAAATTTTGCTCCATTTTATAATGAGGTTCTGGATTCATTGCCATATTTTCAACTTCCTTCCCCATTAACTACAATAAAGCTCAATCAGCAGCTCTCTTAGAGGTCTTCMCCAACTTTAAGCTCCATGACAATCTTTTTCAAGATCTCCAACCTCTTCCCTTTCTCTTTTAAAATACTCCATATAAAAATTTTTCAACTTCACCTTTCTCATGTGTCATGGTTTAACCCCAGCCAGCAACTAAGCACCGTGCAGCCACTCACTCACTCCCTCTTGTGGGATGRGGAAGGGAACTGAAGGAGTAATAGTGAGAAAATTYAGGTTGAGATAAGGACAGTTTAWTAGGTAAAGCAAAAGTTGTGCATGCAAACAAAACATYGAACTAATTTACTACTTCCCAGTGRCAAGCAGATGTCCTYCCAACTTCTTGCACACCTCCAGCCTGCCCGCTGTCGTGGTGGGATGAGAAGCAGAAGAGGCCTTGGCACTGTGGAAGCTCTGCTCAGTARCAACAAAACCATCTCTATCTTATCAGCACAGTTTGCAGCACAAATCCAAAACACAGCCCCATACTAGCTACTGTGAAGAAAATTRACTGTACCCCAGCCAAAATCAGCACATCATGGGAGCTTTGTTCTTGGTRTCCTTTTTTCTGTATAATTTATTTCTGGGGAATCTTACCAACACAGGGAAGTWACTAGGATAATTATTTTGCTGAAAGATCTGTAGATCTACTTCTGTGCTCAAGAAYTGCCTCTGCAAAATAAATCTTAGCCTATTCCCTTGGTTACACATTCACAGACATCTAGGCAAAAGCTGAATTCAACACAGCAGAGCTGCTCACTCTGCTTTTCCTAACTGCTGGAGAGAAAACTGACATTCTGATATTCAGATCCATTTCTAAAATAGACCCATTCCTAYATTCCTTTGTTCAGGTCTTCCATTCACTTTATCTCAATCTTGCAGGCTGTTTGTATCATAGCTCTAACCCGGTCATGTCCAGCTGGAGTAAAAACTCATTTCCTCCCTTTGACTGGCTTGAAGCTACCTATTTCTTTTGTTCATTGACTTACTCTGTCAGTGAATCCATTCATGCTTTCGTTCAGGATTTGCCAGTAAATGCCTACAACAGCTTTTTCCCAGTGCTGCCTTTCTGTTTTCCATGCCCACAAAAGGTGCCAAGTACTGGAGTGATAATATGGTCMATTCTTTCCCTGCAGACACCATGGTTCCTGCATTCCTGCCTTTATCCGACCGTTCTCCCTCATTCTCCTTTGCCAAGCTATCCCAGACACACTCTCTTTCTCTGGTGTCTTAGTGCACTTTTTGACACAACAAACCCTGCTTACCATAGTAAAATACAAGCTTCTGTCTCAGCACCTTTCTTTCTGACCTATTTGCTTGGGACAGTGGAGGGACAGATTCTGTTGTCAGAAGCACAGAGATGCAGCTACTTCCACYAGGACAGGATTCAATGCAAGGGCTGTAGCCCAGAGCTGATAAGCACCAACACAGGTATCCACCAGGGAAGACAATTAGTTTTGTACGGCATGCTCCTTTTTTAGGACTGCCTCTCAAATTCACTATTTCACAGTGAACAGGCAAAGAAAACACAGATACAGCAGCTGGTTTTCTAGGAAGTTCACCTCAGAATATGGAGGTTTCAGCAGCCTGGGTATGATGCCAAACGTGTGCTGAGATTGCCATCAGCCTACTCAGTCTCTTGATGAGATCCTAAAAGGAAAGAGAAGGCACCTCCCCACAGAAGGCTCCCTTGAGTGGCCCACCTACAGTGAACTTGCGTCCRGGCTGAAGTACACACCATAATGAACTGATTGCTGTGGTCTCACTCCTGCCTTTATCTAGAGTAACAACTGTGCAATTTTATGTCCTCTGCCTTATGAGTTAAAAGCTAATGGAGGTTCTTAMTTCACTTCAAAGTGGCAAGAACTTTGCCCATGGAATAGGAAGATCTAAATTTCTGTTCTTGTTTAGCAGGTAAAAAATCCTAGATAAAGTTCCAAATGAATACAGAGGTTACACAGTTTAACTTGGAACTTGTGACCAGATGAGCCTACTTTGTAGATTTAAAAAAAGCTACTATCTGGAACAAGATACAATAATTGCTGATTAAAAGGGGGAACACATATAGACTTTAACCTGCTTAATTGTTGTTTTCAATTCTGAGCAAACATTCCGTTTTGTATGAAATAAAAAAAAACCCACATAAATAGTCAAAGAGCAGAAATAATCCAGGACATAGTAATGTTAMAATCAAACCAGAATTTAGGACAGAACTCTTAAGAATACCTGTGGTGACAGTATTGAGCAGGAAGCTGGTCTTTTCAGCTGTTTCATGGCTGATAAGCAAARTAACTTAATTGTTAGTACTGGTAGGGCATAGAGTATAATAAGTATTGCAGATTAATACAATTTAGAGTAAAATAATGAAGGTAAGATTTTCTGGTGCATAAAAGAGCTTTTTTTCTACTAGTAAAAGTGAATGTCATAATTGTTTTAAATGTGGGATGCCCTACAATGGACTAATGAGATTATTGGAAGCAATATTATTAAAGGTTTAAAGCACTTCCAGCTTTTCTCAGTAGTGTGGTATCTTTGTTTTTTTCTAATGGAGTAATTTAAAGAGCTGATTAGTTCTACATTCATTCCTTTTGTTTCTTTCTTTACTTCTGTTAGGTTCAGATGGAGTTTCGGAAAAGCTGGGAGCGCTGGAGATTGGAACACTTRTATGTCCAGAGAGACAGCAGTATGAAACCTCTGAAGTGTCCAGCCAACAGCATCAGCAGCGGAGGCACAGTAGGCAGCAGTGTCTATGCTGCCACTTGTCAGGCCACATGCAGCTGAGATTTCTGCAGGTGAATCTGACTGGGAACAATGAACTGCATAATATACCTGAAAACCCTTAAATACCCAAGCAAGTGGCTTAAGTTTGCCAGCTCCAGCAAGAAACTTAAGCATATGCTGCTCATTGCCTGCAGGCTGTTGGACAAAGGTTTCTAGGGAGAGCAATCTGCTAATGTAATCAACACATCAGAGGAAAAATTGATCATGTCTAAAGTAAGTTAAAAGGAGTTTTTTCCTATTTGCACACAAGGCCTCCAGGGGTCCAAAACTTAAGCATAGCATCGATCCAGTCTGAAACCACAGGGTCAATGGCTTATTACTGTTGAGTGGGCAAGTTGAGTGATCGACTGATTAAATTACAAGGATATAGAAATATGATTATTGCCAAAAAATACATTTAGACTTTTCTTGGGGTAGGGTAAGGTGCAATCACCATTTTTAGAAAAAAAAAATTTAGAGGAACACAACTTGCATTTCAGGGAAGAATCAGTTTGGTAGCAGGAGTTTCCCAAAGTTAAAGTTGAAAATATGCTGTTTCCTGGGTAGATGAAGAATGGCATGCTAAAGGTCTGTCAATGTACAGTAGGTAGTGTAATGAACCTTTCTGAATGTTATCTTTAAGCTTCACTTACAAAAAAATAAAAACCCAAACAAAACAAAAACCCAGTATCTGTTAGGAGCTTCTTCTGCTAGGAGTAAGTGCACATTATCTCTGTCGACAAGGACAGGAATGTCCCCTGCATGCACAGCCCAGCCACTGTCAGTGATAGTCTGCCTGCCTGGTGGGCACACTGTTGTTCACAGGGATGRGATTATGACTTATTTCAAGAGAACGTTTTCTGTCTGAGCTTTACTCTGCTTCTTGTGGGTGCAAACACACAAAAGAAAGTCAGCTTGGGGCCACTGCTGGTTTTAGCAGACCTCTGCTTTTTGAAAAGATTCGGTAGCTGTCAGTGGGGTCTCACTTTTGCTTCCCTTCCAGCCTTGGTCCTTCTCTCCTGTGGCATAAGGTATCCGTGTGTGTGGAGGGGAAGGCGGCCCTTGCTCAGGGTGCGGGTGCAGGACTGAAGAAGCTCACACCCCCCTGCCCAGGGTGGGCTGCCATCCTCCAGTGCCTGCCTGCTTCCCATCAGAGGAATTAAAAAAAAACCCAAACAAAATCAACAACTCCAAACGTAAAATCCTGAATGCCATGAGCTTTTTTCCATCTGTTTAAAACAGCAAGGGCTCATGCAGTGACTGCATCTGCACTGTGCACTGTGTTCCCTTCCTGATGTGAACCAGAGTTGCTGGAGAAAAACACAAGTACCTTTACAAGCAGGATATAATCCATTGCATCAGTTAATAACAAGCTTCACACATCTTTACTCAGCTCCTACTTGGGCTCTCTTAATAACAAGGAGGCAAAATGCCAAAAACTAGCTCTGAGAATCTCCTTATTCACAGATTTCTCATAATAAGTAACTTCCATGRCATAGCAGCTATGACTACTCAGCAGAAATAACACCCCCCTGTTTTCAAGTCTCTTTGCACTTRCATTCACAGCCCCTATTGTCAAGAAAGTGGACTGGATATTCTGGGATGTAACTCAGCATCTTTCYTGCCTGAAGCTAAATTGCTTTGCATGGGATTATTTAAACATTGCATTAGAATCCTAATTGCCAAAAGCATGGATTAGTTYTGCAATCATCAGGTTAGAATTGAATTAGAGAGGATGTGTTACCTTCTGCTATAATGCTTGTAATTGAGCTCCAGGGAGAAAGACACGTTTGCAGAAATCCACCACAGTTCTCAGGCTGGCTTTATGTGTCTGTAGCGTGCTGGCTTCTCTGCAGGCTGCTTCCAAGTCTTCCCTCCCTAATATCAGCTGCAGAGCTGACTTTGGAATGAAGCACTTCAGGTTCTTCTGTAAATTTAATAACTAGCTTCTGTGTTGTGTGACTGTCAATACACCACTTGTCTACTACACCCAGATGTTAACTGCTGTCCTAYATTTTAATTAATTAGCTTCCTGTACGTACAGAGTATGCTTGATGTTTCTATCTAACGTCTACCCTGAAGTGCTTAGAATAGGAAAAAAAGTGCCCAAGTTTATCACTGGCAGGTGAAAAGGCAGCATGATGACAGATGGATGTGGGATAATGCACACTGGAGGGAATAGTAACACTCATTAATATCCAGGAATGGATGCTAATTTTCTAGGGCCCTGCTTAGTTATGTGCAAACCAGGGAAAAAAGTTTCTGCTGCTTGTGCAGTTGTTAGCAAGATGGTAGTTTTTCTGACAAGAAGAAGTTACAGAAGTATTATAACTCGCTGTTGTGCTGGACAAAGAAGCATGTAACAAATGACAGAGGACAGACATAATCCATGTGTGGTAACAAACCTGTACGCAGCTGCTGTCACAAGCAAGATTCAACAGCTTGTCATGCTTTTGAGGTAGTAGSCTGTTCTTGTCCCTCCTACTCATCTGTGAGTTCAGGGCTTTGGGCCCACAAAAATAATTCCAGTTAACTTATCTTGTAACTTCTCAGTGACTTCTGCCTTGTTTAAATACAAAAGTAAGGCAAAAAATTGAGGTCATAGCCAAGCAGAGGGTTGCAGGGGAAATTTTTCCCCGTATAATTAAGCTCTCGCTTCTTCAAATCTTTTAAAATCTCCTCTACAAACAACCCAGTGGAAGTAATTACCACCAAGCAGAGTTACAGTATTTGTGTATTTAGAGATTGAGCAAGGCCTCAATGCCAATTTCTCCATCATACTTTGTCTACTTCAGTAAAACCTTTTACAAGCCTTTGTTATTCATGCCACCTCTGTTTCRAAATGTATATTGTACAATGATTTGAGTAGCATGAAATAAGCAAACCAACACAAAGCACTGGAACAGATGAACTGTGTTTTTATTTCTTGTGCCTTTTGGCTTCATGCTTACTTATTGTGGTAACTTGTTTCATGAAGCATTAAATACAACAGTCTATGAATCCACCTGGACATAATGCAACTAGTTTATAGCAAGTGAAAACTTTATTTTCAGCATTGCTGCTATGAATTTTTATAATTTCATGGATCTTACCTTGTATTTAATATTTATTTGCATGTATTTCCTTGTTTTAAAAAAATACTCACTGAACTGTACAAGATGTCAGATTATCAACTCCTCATAAATACTGTGCTGATGTTTATTTTTATCATTGTGAATAAAGTTTCAACTCAACAAAATATCATTGCCTACAGATTTGGGTATCATCTGACTTCTTATCCTGTAATTAGAATACTTTTCAAGGATGGAAAGATTCAGAGTTTGTGGTCCTTGTGGGGAAACATCACAGTCRAATCCAAAATGCAGCATGTTGTAGAGGCAAAAGAAATCAGTAAGAATAGTGAAAACTCTGAGGGAGTTTCACTGGAGGATGCYGAAATATGTACAAATGATAAAATTCTGTGTTTTCCTTTAAATAGCAGCATTTGGTATTTATGACMTTATGTCCACAGCCCACAGAGGGATGCTATGAGAATGCTGTGGAGAGCTACTGAGAGATGCTTAGCCCTGTTAATATATTACATGTGCTTTAATSTATTATTCTCTTACTAGTTCAATTAAATTCACAGCACCTTTCTTTTATTTCTACAATGATGAAACTTGTGGTGAGTTAAGCCTTAAGACTGTGTTTAACTGTTAAATTAGAAAGGACATGGAATGGCAGAGGATTTGAAAGACCACTTTGTGACTTCTCAACTTTTATCCACAAAGTGGATAAAACTTTTAGACACAAGTTCTAGCAGCAGCTGCTCCTCAAAATCATGACTGAAATTTTCATAGAATCAAAAAATCGTTACGGTTCGGCAATACTTTTAAGATCATTAAGTTCAACTGTCAATGTAGCATCACCACCCTGTTCAACGCTAAAACATGATCTCAAGTACCACATCCACGTGTTTTTTACATGCTCTGAGCAGCGGTCACTACCACTTTGCKGGGCAGGTCTGGCTCAATGCAATGATCTATGTATTAAAAACGGCAGTGGATCACAAAAACCACCTGCCAGGAATAAGTCTTTTTGGCTTACAAATTATGAAAAGTGTAATATGAAGCAAACAGGGAATTACAATCCGTTAGTGTTATATKAAAGACACCACTGCAAACCAAAGCAGCAGCCTCTCAGGTATAAGGCTATTGCTTCACGTCTTTTCTTCAGAACGAAAGTTCCAGCCGGTGCAGGGAAGAGCAGCAGTGGGCCTTTCTACTGCAGGTGTCATCAAACACCAGCGTTTCTGTCACCTGTGCAAAGCTTTCGGGAGCTGAAACCCTCCAGCTGGCAGCTGCAGCCGTGCCAAGGCCGTGCCTCTCGGGGCCGCTCCACAGCGGCCGAAACAGCTGCCCGGCCCCAGGAAACGAGACCAGAGCGCAGGCTTTGCTACGGCTTTATTCGGGACCGGCCGGCGCCAGGGAMACGGGCCAGCAGTAAGGCTCGAGCGGTTTTGTATAGGAACAAACGCAGTTTCCTCCCCACAACCTCGGGGAGCGGCGGCTGTCCCGGCCTGGCACAGCGCAGTCCCCGSCGGGCCGGCGCTACCTGCCCGCGGCGGGCCGGTAGTGCAGCTCCCGCTCCAGCTGCTCGGCCGTCAGCGTCCCGGCGATGGCGGCACAGCCGGGGTTGAAGACGGAGTAGGCGCTGAGCTCGCCGGGCCGCCGCTCGGCGGGGCCGCGGGTGCCGGCATACATCCAGTAGAGCAGGGAGAGAACGAAGAAGGGCAGCCCGAGCTCCAGCTCCGCGAACAGCGCCAGCAGCACGGCCCACAGCAGCACCTTCAGCAGCAACGGGCGCGCCCACACCGGAGCCGCCGCCGCGCCGGGGCGGACCTGTGGAGGCGGCAGCGAGAGCGGCGTCAGGCACCGGCCGGCCGCCGCACCCCCCGCCCCGCCCGCCTCGGCGCTCACCTGAGCGCCGCCGCCCGGGCCCACCGCAGCTGCCCGCGGTCCCTCGGCGGGGCGCGCAGCGGCGGCAGCGCTGCCACGGGCGGCGCGGAATTGGGCGAGGCGCTGCTCCACGGCCGCCGCCATGGCCGAGCCGCGCCTGCGCCACGGCTCGGGACGGCCCACGGAGGAGGCGGGGCCGTGGGAGCGGGAGCCGYGAGAGGAGCTGTGGGGAGCCGTGGGGAGCCGTGGGCCGGGGGTTACRTCCTCCCCGTCTGGGAGGGATAGGACCGCCGCCTGAGTCGCTCTGCAGAAAAGCCGTAATTCAGCAGAGGTGTCCTGTGTTTTCACACAATCAGGTTGGAAAATGTGTCTGAATTGCAGTCCACCCTTGACCAAACACCAGCTTGKCAAGTAGAGCATGGCGTTGGGTGTTATGTCCAGTCCTATCTTGAACACTTCCAGGGATGGTGACTCCASCACCTCCCTGGGCAGTCCATTCCAATGTCCTATCACCCTCTGTGAAGAAATTATTTCTACCATCCAACCTAAACCTCTCCTGGCACAGCTTGAGGCTGTGTCCACCTGTTTRTCACTGGTTCCTGGGAGAAGAGGCTGACCCSCACCTCCCCTCAGCCTCCTCTTCTCTGGGCTGARCAACCTCAGTGACTAATGTTGGCACGGAAAAGAAGAGAGAATAAAGCATGGAGTGACCAAAGCTTGGGGAAGGTGAGTGAGGTGTTCATGGGCAGGCTGACCAGCAACATTTGTGTTGGGCATTCGAGCAGAGGTTTTAGCAGAGTGCTGAGCAGCTGAGACAGGGCAGTGTGCAGGAGGAGGAGGAGAGCACCTCACTGTGCTTGGCCATTCCCCATGGGGTGCCAGAAGCCAGGGCTTGCCCTGTACCACCCTCTGCCAGCCCTGGAGAAAAGCCTGTGGTGGGCTCCCTCCAACACACGCCCATAGGCCTTGCCAACATCCATCCYGCACTCTCTTTAAATGAAATAATAAAATTGAGAAAACCAGTTCTATCACATCTTGTTTCAGCTCTCGGCACTGCCAAGAAATAAAAATTTATTTACAGATTCTGTCTCTTAGCCTCAGGAGTAAAATATCTGTCACTCTCCAACAGTAATAGTCAGCAATGAGCCATCATTTCATCCTGCAGTGCTGTTTCCAGTTACTTATRGCCTTCTCAGAAGTGACCTTTGGGGCTGAATGTCTCATGCATGTGTCAGCTCAGAAGTGAATATGAGAAGTCTAATAAAAATCGATTTGGGTGTTCTTAAGTTATCTTAATGAGGAAAAAATTGTGGTTTTTCCCAGCTAAATCAATTTTCAAATGCCTATTTTATGCTTGGTTACAAAATTACTTTCATTTAACCTTCCGACTGCAGAAAGTGCAGCAACAAATGAAATTTTTCTCTTTCTTTGTGGAAATTTGATTTTGAAATAACAGTCAAAAATGTTTTAAGATAGCTTGCACARGACATTATTTTATTTTGATTTTTTTTCCTTCCTCTTGYTCTGCTGGTCRTGGAAATAGCTCCTTGTTCTGTAGACTTCATTAGTCAAATTAATAGTTATATGCGACTAATATATAAAATAGCACCTTTTCAAGCTGCACCCAGTCATTCCCATGTTGTCAGATTTTAGTCAAGATATACCAGTTTTAGTATGTGTTTGCTATTATGCATCCAAATAGCTATTATATAGCTATTTTATAGGGCTACCTATATTGCCATGTATTGTTAGGAAATGCATAGAAAAGTGCTATGAATTATGCCTTTGAAGCTTAAGAGCACTCCAGTAACTTCATCTGTAAATGAKTTTTACATTGCAGATAAATACCCAAACAAATTTGTACCCATAAAATCTTAAATTACTTCAATATATCCTGCTTAATTGTACAGACATTTCATTTTGTTTGTTTGTTTAACACACCATATGGACAATTTGCTCCCTAATCCAGTGCCTACAATAATTCTTGGCAGTTCACCAAGCTTAAACTTTGGATCCTCAGCTTGTGRCTGTGAGGGCAGAGGGGACATGGGGAGACTAAAGAACACTTCTTGTGGGATTTGAATCACTTWATGTCTTTCTCTGTTTATGAGAAAAACAAATTGAATGTGGTGGGTTTGTAGGTGTGAGGCTATGAGTCGAGTCTTTCTCCWCTTTCCTGCAGCCAATGATTAATCAAAAATGTTGGATGCTCTGGATAGATCTCTAAAGCAGCATTCTTTATAAAGGAAATTCTGGAACTGCCCATCAACTTTTAGGAGGAAGAATTAAGCTCCCTTTAAAAACTTGCCCTTTTTTTTAACTTGTTTCATACTAAATTATAATAAAAGCAGCTCACATGYGTGCTTCTCTCTGCCAAGAGGAAAAGCTTTGTTCTTTATAAATTTCCACTTCAACAATTTTGAAATCTTTTCCTCTATCCCAGSAATCAACTTCTTGTTATATTTTAATATTTATGACAGAGAAGAATAATTTCATTCTGTTCTCAGCCAGTTGTCATCAGCTTGAGGAACTAAGGTTCCAAGCCATTAGGAACTTTGTCCATGGCACTCTATCAGCAAGTGAACTGAAGRAGGTGAAAGAATTCAMAGAACAAGAAAGTTGTCAAAGCCATGCCCAAAGTGCAGTTGATTTTATATTTTTGGGATGGTGACCRCAGAGTTTTTCCTAATTAATTTTCACATGTGTCCACTCTTTCATGCTTGTTAAGGAAGGGAGAGAACTAAAAATTAGATGACGTATTTTTACATGGCAAATGGCATTAGAACTGTTTGTGGTGAAATACCAACCCACCTGAGTTAACCTAAGCATTGATAGCAACATTCAGATCCTGTGGCACCCTTTGCATGTTCCACCATGTCAGTAGTCTGTCACCAGGTCTTGGTGTCAGCCACCTCCTTGCTCAACAGCGCAGGCTCAGGCTCTTGCCCAGTGCTTTGGGGTGTTGTTGCTTGCTTCCTCCAGCTGCAGATACCTGCTTGTGTATGACAGCTTTTTCAGATACCAGCATTAATTCTCTTGATGGCTTAATCTAATGCATTGTCAGGAGCTCTCTCCTTCATGAGATAAGCMTTCACACTCACACTGACTTGCTAAGTGCCATAAATGCAGACAGAAGGGCAACCCATAATTAATGTAATGACCTAGCTTAATTAGTTCAATGGAGCTGAGGGAGCATTAGGTCTAGTTGTTGAGGTCTTGCAGAACATGTATAAAATAGATTGAAGTGCACAGATTCATATTTATCTAATTCCATGGAGGGCTTTCTGCATATCCATTTCCTAATCAGTTCTGAACTACAGAGAAGAGCTGCTTCCTTTGTAAAAAATGGTCATTAATTTTCCTTCCTAAAATAGCAGCATCAGGGTGCTTTGCCATTAGACATAAAGAATTTTTTCTGTCTTTTTATTGAACTCTGGCTTCTGAATTACAATTTTTCATGTCTGTGTGGTTTTGAAACATGTACATTTGTATATTCAGCACTGCATGCTAAAAGGTTCTGAGATACTAGCACTTATGTTCCTGTTTTATATGCTGAAGTGCTCTATATTAAAATATATTTAAAATTGGACAAAGCAGAGTTATTAATATTTCTGTCACAACTCCGAAATGTTCTTCATGATTTCATGGCAAACTTCCATTTGAAGAAAAACAGAGGAAAAAATATCTCACTAGTTCAATGTTGGCTGTAAATGTCAGATATTTAGTCAAATCATTGTAACAGAAAAGGGGGCTATTTTACTGCTTTTGGAAGATAAAACCCAATGAGCACTCTAGCTGGGATTGTTTTGCCATGTTCATAACTTCAATCTGATTCCAAAGTCAAAGTTTTGAAAACTGTTTTAAAACTTCAGAAGTTTGGAATACTGCCTTTTGATTTTTATCATATWGCTGGGGGCGAAAAGAGGCATTTGCCACTTGATATTCCTCATAACTTAAGTGAAAATAATCCTAATTTGTCTCTCCTGTCTGTCAACATTATTTGGGTTTAATCAGTCTTCTCAAAACTTTTTTTTTAAAAAAATACTTTGTAAATTAATTATGAAAGTACTTTCGTGAAGTTGGAAAGCTCTTTGGGCTTAGAGTGAATATTGTTTGTTCTAAATGTGTATAGCACTTAACCACAATATCCTGTACCTAGATGCTATAATAGCATTTCCCCAGACAGGAAGAATGGAATTAAAAGAATGTCAGACAAGATCTTAAAGCCAATTGTAGATCTGAGTTCTGGTTCCGCATCTATTTCATTTAAATCCATTGCAGTTTAAAATACAGAAAATTCTATATCCTAGAAGGTGAATAAAGAGTGAGAAGGCAGAAGTAGACTATATTACCCCCTTACACACATACACACTCAATCTTCAGAAGCCTCTCATTGCGAGTGCACTGTAAGCTAATGCTGACATTGGCTGCCAGTTTTACACATCCACTTCCACAAAAAAGAGGCAGAAGAACACTGATAGTTTTCATTTTTAGAGGAGCAGAAGGCCCAGAAAGGTGTTGCCTTTTCTCAAGCCATCAAGCCTCTGCCCTATATGATAGGACAAATCATCATCCAGAAGTGCTGCTCTGTCATTGCAGTTGTCAGTGTGCATTCCAGCCATCTGGTGGAACCTCAGGCTCTTGCTGATAAATATAATTTCCCTATAAACAGTTCAAACAGGGGTGAGACTTCAACTGTGCCCCTGAGATAGGTATACCAGGTGTAAGGGCTTGGAGCTATTTTTGAATTACCACAAATTATTCAGCAGACTACAAGATGAAGGAGGGAGATATTGCAATCCTCTTCCTCCTGGGCTCTGAATGAAAGAAATGAGCTTACCTAGAATAAAGTAGCTGATTATGTGTATCTACACATAATCTAACAGAAGTCCAAAGTATTACTTCTGGCAAGCTGCTGGGGGTGTATAGAAATACCACTTTACTCTTTTTGGCAATTTGTCCTCCTCATTATCTCCTTTTAGTCCCAACACCTACACTGGATTTTGGAATATCTATGATGTTTACCACCAGGAGTGAAACTGTTCAGTCAGATCACAGCTGATGGATGACAAACTTTAGGGACAAGGCCTTCCCTAATGCTTTCAATGACAGGAATAAATTAGATAGTCCACCAAGAGAATGAGCCTTTCAACATG